AAAGCATTCTTATTCCGAGGCTTTGAGCATATTGAGAAAATACCTCTTTCAGACTACGATGTTAATAACATGATTTTCTCGTTCTATCTCAAGCACAGCCATCCTCAGTATGAGATATGTAGTCTACATAAGCTTGTAGTTGTTAGAGTGTATGCTCCTTTTCCGGTTGAACACTTCACCAACATCAAGTTTAAAGGATTCAGGGTAAAAAGTCGTGTTGAATTTGACTTCACGCTTCCTGATCTGACATTCATGAATCTGAATGACTGGATTTCCCTGTTTCTAATTTTATCAAAAGATGAAGCGAGGTTTGAGCATATCGTCTCTCATGTTAAAAGAATGTTGATCAGCTATATTTATGAGGTTGCCAAACTAGATGTTCAGATAGCTACATTATTAAAGAAAAAGCATGTCGTGTATCCTAAGGAAGATACGAAGGATTTTCAGAAAAGGAAGTTGGGTAAAATTAAGAAAGATGATTGGAGTGTTGTGTTTCAAAGGAGAAGTGGTGATAAAGTTCAGAAGAGTTTGTTCTTTTTGTTAGACAAACACTTGTACTCTTCTACTGCACTAACCCACATCATGGACTTAACAGTGGCATGCAAGCACAACAATGATGAAGATCTAAAGTGTTTATATGAGATGATCACATGATATCTCGTGATCCGAAAATCTCTTCTGAGTCTGATGACCAAGCTGTTTAAAGTTCAGAAGGTTCAGAGATGAAGAATCTCCTTCTCATTTGACACAAAGAGGGAGATTGTTGGATTATTTAATGTATTGTGTCAAAATGTTTTATACTTAATAGTCTTAATTATTAACGGGTTGGGCCTGTCCATCTGTATTTATGGTACTAGGGTTAGACTATTTAAGGTGCATGCATGTATCTGTTTAGGGTTAACAAGTTGCATTGCCCTACATAACCTTTATAGAAGAGTTCATATTGAACTCTTCTAATGTTATTGAATATTAAGCATTCAACACATCTTTATTCATTGTTCTTGTTCTTCTATTCACGTTACTGTTAAGAATCTATCGATCTTCAGTTTATTGTTTCTACAAAAAGTAATAATAATAATATAGTAATTAAATAATAAAGTTGTTGAAGTGGAATCATTAGGTTGTAAGAGTTATTGTTGAATATGATGATTAGGCTAAATGATATGGTAATAATAACCTAATAGATAAGTCAATTGATGTATGAGGATGGTGTAGGTTGGTGTATCCATAGTAGGACCCAATCTTAATAAGTATATATATATAAAATATTTACTTCTAAGCCCATCGTATCTCTATATTTACACATTTTATCTAAACAATAATTAAAGCTTCTAACTAGTTTTTTTTATGTATTTTTTCTATCAAATTTTAAAAACATTTGTATTTATGTATTTATCAATTTTTTTGTGTAAACTTCTTATTATTTATTTATTGTATTTTTCATAAACATATACAAAAATTATATACATAACACTTTTATATAATATAACTTTTTATTTAAATATGAGAAATATAAGAAAAATAAGTTGTAGTTTTAAAATGATTATCTAATGATTGTGGTTAGTTAATAATTATAAACAAAAAAATAATTATTATAGTCAAAAGTAATCATTAAGGGGTATTAATATATTGAGAAGGGGTATGAATAAAGCAAACCAAAAAGAATTGATATTCATCAAAAGTATTGTGAGCAAATTGACAGCTTTTTACCATGTTCAAAAACTTTACTAGGCCATCGTATGGTGAATGATTTTAGGGTTAGATGATTAGATAGGCAGAGGGTTATGTTAAAAAGAAAAAGAATACATAATTAACTTAGCTAATTTATAGGGATTATGATTTCTTTTTATACCTATTATACATTCTCAGTACCTACTCTACACACAATGTTCTATAATATTATTGTGTATATTTTTAATCATATTCATTGATATAATAATTCTGTTAGAAAATCGGGATATAGATATACTTGGATCAGTGAGAGTTGTGAAAAACTTTCAGATTAAATCATTTCGAGGGTACAATCAAAATCTCTAATCGGATGAAACTCACTGTTTTTTCTAGAATGGAGAATGAAGAAGATGTTATGAAATTTGTACCCAAATGAATCCGAAATTGATCATATAACAGAAGTAACTTCCCGTCTTAAAACTGTCATGTGGTAGTTACAGGAAAACAACTTCCTGTCCAAAAAACGGTCATATTACCTGTCACAAACTAACATAAAACCGTGTCTATAAATGGATCACAAAATCGCGTGTTTTTACAAAAAATACGGATTTCTGAGACATTTTGTATATAGCAACATAACTCATATTGAGACATTTTCTGAGACATTTCTTCGACGCCAGTCAGGGGTTCTGCCCCTTCGACCCTGCTAGGGGCTGCCGCCCCTTCGATCCCTCTCCCAAGGGCGCTGCCCCCGGACCCCCGTCAGTTCAGGGACTTCGCCCCTAAATAGCAGTATACTTTCAACAATGGCAAAATCAAACAAATGTGCATTCCACACCATACTAATTTGTTCGATAATTTTCAAAATGACATTGATTAACAAATTAACTCCATTACACTTAAATAATATTAGTGATATAAAATCACCAACAAATTCCAGGGTTGCAAGGTTACTTCTATGGTTTTATAAGTTGAAAATAATTCTAGATTGATCGTTTGTGTGTGTGTGTGTGTATATATATATATATATATATATATATAGAAATATACTTTTTAATGTGTTTATGTATACAATATCAAGAAAATATACATATTTATTATGAAAAGTTCCTTTGATTTTTTTTCTGTAAGTAGTTGGATAATAAATGGTATTAAATGTAATGGAAGATTGTCAACAAAAGATTTTCTACTTTGGATGACATAAATCGTAATAAATCCAATTAATTTTATTACTCTAAATAAATATGTAGCACATGTAAATTGAAAATTGAAAGTTGTATATCACCTTTTCAATAAAATACCCATCCTCTCTCTCTCTCTCTTTCTTTCTCACTCTTAAACTCCCATGTACTCTTGCATACACCATGGAGAAAGGAAACTCTAAGCCATCGATCGCTCTCATTGTAGGAGTCACTGGCATGGTGGGTGTAAGCTTGACCGAGGCTTGAAGATGCCAATGGCATTAGGTGGTCCGTGGACAGTCTATGGTGTGTCACGACGGGCCTTACCCACCTGGTTCCAATCCTCCCTCCTCGACAAACACATCATTTTGTCTGGGAAAAGTCATGATTGAGTGAAGACTTTGGACGTGACTGAGGTGCTGGTCGGGTGTCTGGGAAAGGTCGAGAATGAAGATGAAAAGATGGTGATTAATAGCTGATGTGAACAAGTGGTAAGACGAAACCGATTAAGGGGGTGGTTGTTGGGTTAATCGGGTTTCGTTCACGGGTTACGGGTCGGTCAAGGAGTTATGAGTTTGCATGGTTAACGGTAGTTTTGATTTGTTTATGTTGACTAGGTTTTAGTGGATAATAAAGTATGACTTGGTGTCATGTAATTAGGTAAACGTGGGTTAGCTTTTACTGGGAAGTCTATCCATTAGTTTAGGAAGTTAGTTTTGTTTTATTCTATTTATTTTGAAGCTTTCATATATATAGATTGTACTTTTCGTTGTTTGGAACATATACAACAGAGAGAAAAAGTACCAAAACTAAGTGTGTCTATCTTCATTCTTCCTTTTCTATCTGGGTGTATTTTGAGCCATACGTATCTGATTTCTAACATTTGGTATCAGAGCGAAGGTCGAAGAGGCCGGTTTGTGAGTCGACTTTCGAAGGAGGGAGTAACCTTTGGCTGCAGGAGCAGTAGAAGCAGCGGGTCGACAACTGGTTTGGATTGCGAAATCAGAAACATGGTTTGTTTGGCAGTGATTTTTCCTTGTGGGGAGCAACAAACTGAAGGTTTAATCCCACAATAGGTTCGGGACAGCAGGGACTGTTTCAGGAATTGTTTACAGCAGAAGACAGGAAAAATTAAAGTGTTTCTTGTCAATTGTTGTCGTGGGGAGACGGGGAGCACCCTTCGAGACGAAGGGGAGTATGGTATTCAAATGCATATCCGGCGGTAGGCTGTGGATATGTCACGGGAAAATGGAGAGAGTTACCGAAGTTGCGTGAGAAAACAAAAAGAAAAGATCCGTCAAAAGCAGGTGGCTTTGGGTTTGTTTCGTTTTGCAGGTGAAAGAAGACGGGAAAAGCGGGTTGCTTTGTTTTCTTGATCGGTGGAAGAAGGCTCTCGTTTCACAGAAGTGTTAGGTGAAAACGGATTCTGTGTGGTGACAAACAACATCCGGATGTGGAGGACTTTGGACGTGACCAAGGTGAAGGTCGGGTGTCTGGGAAAAGTCTTGATTGAGTGAAGACTTTGGACGTGACTAAGGTGGTGGCTGGGTGTCTGGGAAAGGTCGGGAATGAAGATGAAAAGATGGTGATTAATGGCTGTTATGAACAAGTGGTATGACGAAACCGATTAAGGGGGTGATTGTTGGGTTAATCGGGTTTCGTTCACGGGTTACGGGCCGGTCAAGGAGTTATGAGTTTGCATGGTTAACGGTAGTTTTGATTTGTTTATGTTGACTAGGTTTTAGTGGATAATAAAGTATGACTTGGTGTCATGTAATTAGGTAAACGTGGGTTAGCTTTTACTGGGAAGTCTATCCATTAGTTTAGGAAGTTAGTTTTGTTTTATTCTATTTATTTTGAAGCTTTCATATATATATATATATATAGATTGTACTTTTCGTTGTTTGGAACATATACAACAGAGAGAGAAAAAGTACCAAAACTAAGTGTGTCTATCTTCATTCTTCCTTTTCTATCTGGGTGTATTTTGAGCCATACGTATCTAATTTCTAACACATTTTGGATACACTGAACGAGGAAAACACTCATAAAATCCTCTCTCCACTCTCCACCCAAATCACCCATCTTTTCTGGGTAGCTTTACAAGCCAATGAAAGCGAAGAACTAAACATTTCCAGAAACTCAACTATGCTTTCCAATGTCCTAAGTCTATTAACTTCTTCTCCAAATTCAAAGTTGAGTCACGTGACGTTGCAAACAGGCACAAAGCAATATGTTGGACCGATTACTGACTCAGTCATTTCAACTCAACTCGTCCCCCATGAACCACCCTTTAGAGAAGATTACGCTAGACTTCCATTTCCAAACTTTTACCATGATTTGGAAGATATTATATATTCATACTACAAAGCATTCACCTATTCTATACACCGTCCTTCCATAATCATTGGTGCATCTTCAAGAAGTAGCTATAATTTCCTTCTTACGCTCTCCGTTTATGCACTAGTGTGCAAACACGAAAACTACCCATGCAGGTAAGGTGCTGATATAGACATATAGTTTTACTTTCAATATCTCTATACATTGAAAATGAATTTTTTGTAAAACCAACAATTAATTAAAGAAATGAATATCTAAACCATCAAATTTATGTAGGTATTTCGGTAACAAGTACACTTGGGGCCACTTTTGTGAATTATCTGATGCTAGACTAATAACGGAGCAGCAGATATGGGCATCAACGACAAAGTGCGCTAAGAATCAAGCTTTTAATTGCACAAACGGTGATATGTTTACATGGAAAAGTATGTGGATAGTGCTTTGTGATGTATTTGAAATTGAGTTTGTGCCATTCGATGAGAAAGACAAGTTCGATTGTGTCGACTTCATGAAAGACAAAAGGAGTGGTTTGGGATAGAATCGTGGAAGAAAATGGATTGTACAAGACAAAGATGGAGGAAATAACTTGCTTCGGCTTGCTAGATAATGTTTTAAATCTAGATGTTCAAATTGTTTCTAGCATGAATAAGAGTCGAGAATTTGGGTTTTTGGGGCATGCAAACACATTAGAGAGCATTCCCGTGTGGGTTGAGAAATTGCGACAAATGAAAATACTTCCATAGATGTTGTATTCCCAAAATACAAATGTCCTGGTTGTAAATCAGTCATGAAGTTAATAAAAGGCAATGCCGAACTTGCTATATTTATATTATTTTTGTTTTTTTAAACAAACTTGCAATTATATAAAATGTTTGTAGTCAAGTATTACTTGAGGCTTAGATCGCACATCATTGTCCATGATTGGTGGTGCAACGCAGGAGTTTTTTCATTGTCGATATGAGATAATTTAACGAGGGGGAAAAACACAAGCATTTTGGAGACCTTGCAAACAGCTTCTAATTCTCTCTTGCTTTATCTTCATTAGAAAATCATTTTTGGCATTGTTTTTGTCATTAAACCCGTGGAGCACCGATCGAAGAATCTCATTCCCATTTTTGTTTTGTCATTTCTGCAATCTCCTTACTCTTTTCAATTTCTTCTCCAAAGTATCTCCACAGGTTTTCCTCCACACTCAGTACCATCTTTTCGGTCGGTGATTTTTTTTTTGTGGTTAATCGGTTTCTGGTGGAGAAGAAACCGGCCACCTCCTCACATGTTCTAATCCGTGGGAGAAAAAAAAAATCATAACCAGGTTACTAGTTTCCGGGAAGACACAAGGTTGATCGTTTTAATTGCAACCTCATTTCCATTGTGCTATAGACTCAGGGGCGGATCCAAGGGGATCCCGGGGTAGCCCGGGATACCCCTCAAATTTTTTTCGGTAGTGTAATTTTTGTTTACTTATACCTCAAAAAAAAAATCGGTATAGTGTATATATACGCATCCCTCTACTTATAAACACAAATAAACAGTTGGTCTACTGGTCAAGGCACTGGCTTCTTGAAGTAAAGGTCTCAGGATCAATTCTTGCTTTTTACATATCCTTTGTTTACTTTTGTTTTATTTTCCCAGCTATTCTATCCCACATCGCTAAATACATGTAAACTAACCATTTTTTTCTATTATATAAACCTGTTATGCTCATTCTTTATTTGATATCTATTTTGAGTCTCACATCGATTCAAGTATCAAAATATACTTCAACTTCATTATTATATAACAAGACTTGAGGTTAGCTAAGGATTCGATTAAGATTTGGGTTTAAAACAAAAATCGAACCGGGGAAACCCAAGTACCCCGGAGAAAAATTGGGTTACCCTAAAAAAAATTGGGATACCCCTTTATTTTGATCCTGGCTCCGCCACTGGCTATAGTTCAAGTCCGAAATAAAGATGCAAAAAAGGTAATGGTTTAATGTTCTGGTAAATAAATCTAAAACTATATGAATTTGATAAATACTAGTACTTTCTAACAACTATCTTTTTGTAGAAAACTCGGGGCTGGAGAAGCTTTATTGTTCTTGCCATTTTGGTGTTGTGTATCCTTACATACCACTGTCTTAAATTCTTAATTATGGTATCATCACATAAATGCCACCACATAAATACTACATGACTTTGATATATCTATCATTACATTATTTTTTTAATATAATAAAATTAAATAATAAGATTAAAAAACTAGGTTTACATTAAAATAAAAAAATACATGTATTAAAATTAAAAAAAAACATACAAAAATTTTAAAGAAAATACGAAAATTAAAAAAAATAAATAAATAAATATAAAAATTTATCGAAAAATGAAAAATAAAACTAATTCATATTCTTATTTCGCTCGGACGGCTTCTTTCATCGAACAATTATGTCTAAGTCTTCGTCCGCATAGTCGTTGGGGTTCATTTTTAAAACCTCCAAACCGGCATAAGTCGATTGTGTTTCTATGATTTCTTGTTCCACCTAATTCATTATCCCAACTTTTTCCTCTTGTAGTGGACATATCGATTAACATTTTCTCCAAAATGATCGATAACGCTAGACTACAAATTATCAACTCAAACTGCAAGCCATTTTCTTTGCGTTATTTCTTCCGTCGAGCTATAGACATAGAGGTTGACCATCTTCAAGGTCTACCAGCTCATCGTTGATTCTATGTCTGTTTGGTCTTCCGATTGTTGTGATTGTGTACGTCCACTGACATTTATGAGATGCTTCGAACTAGATGAAACTGATTCTTTAATACATTGTCATTTTAGTCAATCCTTCAACTTTATCCACGGTTGGATATATGGAAAAGGTTTGTGGGTTGGTTGTGATTTTTCGAACCGTTCCATGGTCGCGTTGAAGATGTAAAAGTGGTTTTACCCACTTCCATGCAAGTTTTATTGATGATGTTACAAATTTCGCTGAATTTGGTAATTTTCAATCTCGTATATAAGAAACATGGACCAAGCCTCAATCTACAGCTTAAAATACCAGCTTTACACCCAATGTAGAACCCAAGGTGGCAATTACGGGTGGAAATGAGGCTACGCGCCGCGTAGCAAAATTACGCCATGCGTAATAAGCTATTGTCCAACTTTTCCCATTAAGTGCTTAATACCGAAAGGTAACCATCCATTTCTCATATCTGGTTCCTAATAGCTCCATAATTGATAAATTTTCGGACTTTATCCATTAGGATGGTCCAAACAACCAATATCTAGTTTTTAAGCCTCAATGGGACCAAAAATGCAGCTTTCTCAAATTAATCCATTAAGTCCAAGTCTCCAACCTTCAGATCCGAATCAATATGATGTTTAGATGGATTAAGTTTCCAACTTTATGCGTAACAAGGTCACAAACTTTCAAGATCTTAACTTTATGCACTAAAATGACCAAAAATGCTAACACAACTTGCATGGCTTAATGAACAAGCACCAAAGCACAGTTTTCCAAGTCCAATAAGTCCCAAGAGTATTAAATATAGCTCAAAAGGTGCTGGAGTTACCTCAACTCCCAAACGCAAGCTCAAAGGACCAAAAACTGACAAAATGGCCAATAACAAGATCTAGGAAATCAATGAGCAAGACAAAAGCTTTTTTACTCACAATGGTCCATAAATGAAGCAAAATTGTTGAATCTATAATTGAACCCTTCTTCTATACACTTTACCACTACCTTATTCTTCAAGATTCCACCTTCCAATGGAGAAATATGCTCATAAATGATGTCAAGGCTCAAAACAAAGTAAGAGGAGGCTAGGGTTTCTCAAGGAATGATCTTAGGTGATGGAGGTTGGTTATGAGAAGGTTTCCCATACGTTAGAACCCTTAAATAGGGCTCATAACCGAATATTTAGGGTTTTGATCAGCCGCTATTACACATTGCGTAACATAAATTACGCCATGTGTAGTTCATTAAACATGCTTCCGAAATCAGCTAGTTACGCCCTGTGTAATTTTTAGTTACGCCATGCGTAACTTTCATATGTCATGCGTAGGACAAAAGCCCCTAATTCCACTTCAACTTCAAACAACCATAACTTCTTCGTTTCAACTCCATTTCGACGTTCTTTATATGAACATAAAGCTACTAAAGAGCCCCAAAATCCCATCTAATTACTTTTGACTTAAAACATGCCGAACTAAAACCATAATCCATGCAAGAAGCCCATAATATTACTTTTCCCATTTTACCCTTTTTCTTCGAAGCACAATTCGATGGCCTTAATCACTTAACCCTACAACTAACTCTACCACTGGCAACTCAACTCACTTGAAATCGATTTTGCAACAACAAATACGAATCCACTAAGGAACTCCACGAGGAACTACAAATAAACAACAACGACTTTTTCAACAAGTAAAAAATCCTACCAAGAACATACCCATACCCATCGGCTACTAAGGCATCAACAATATTTTGTACTGCTCAAAGTATCCAATTATGCCAAAGACCAAACGAATTACACCATGTAGATCTCCACGACATAACTACTGACCCAATACATAAGTGAAATCCACGAGGGTCCATAACAAGTCGTGACACCATCCAACCATTGGAACGAGAATCGCACGGTTCCTCACCGATCTTGCCATCACCCAATCTCAGCCATGAAGATTCCCTGTCAGCGCCCGATGGGCCTATAGGTACACGACCATCATCCCACCGACCAACAAGAACCCATTCAACATCCCACATAACACATACCAACATCCGCATGAGCCAAACCATTTTATACCATGCAACCCTTCCACGGTCTAAACTACTATCGACACATCATCGGAGAGAACATGCTCGCATGCCAAAAGTAAACTTTTTCACACCGGCCCAACCCAAAATCAATAAATCAAAATAAGAACCATTCAATAAGGTTAGGCCATGTTCCTTCTTTATCATAAACTTACCCAAAAGGTGAAGCACCAGCGGGTTGGGCGAAACAATGAACCTTAACCGCTAACAGAAATGCTTTCCTAATAACCAAAGCAAGATCCCACACCTTAATCAAAACTGAACATTTCTGCTTTGACTCCCGAACTTCCAGCAACTAAGGACGTCTACCAAACTCAAGCCTACTAGATATAATGATTCCACAACCAAAAAAATCAAGAGCACACATACATAGAGACCAAGATATAAACTTTTCATATCTTGACAAGCGATTAAAGCACTAATTCTCCCTTCAGTTGATACATATTGAAGCCTTCGAATAACCCCAACAGTGGAAGATGAACAAATTAGCCACGATCGAAATGGATCGACAACTAAACCCAATGATCCCCTGCATTGAAGAACAAATCACACGCAAAAACACATACTAAACTATGAAGATGGTCGACGGATTAACAACTGCCCAACCATCATCATAAATGATAAGCCCATATGACAATATAACATTGTCCTTTATATCAGATGCCCACCCTAAGCAACTCAAACATTCCTTTCTCAAAATCCTTGGCGTTTCCCGAAGAAACTGTGGGTTATGGTTGTTACAAAAT